CAGATACACACAAGCCAACACATAAGTACCCAGGTAGGTTTTAAAAAGAAATTAAGACTTGGGAGGCAGAAGCTGGCAGGTCTTTGTGAGTTGGAGGCCAGCCTCGTCTACATAGCTTGTTCCAGGACAGCTAGCACTGGTACACAGAGAAACCCTGTCTGGAAAAACAAAATGAAATTAAAGTTGGGTGTGGTAGTTGTAGCAAATGCCTTTAAACCCAGCACTTGGGAGGCAGAGGCAGGCAGATCTCTGTGAGTTCTAGGCCAGCCTGGTCTTAAAAGCGAGTTACAGGACAGCTAGGGCTATTACACAGAGAAAAAAAAAAACAACAAAATTAAATGCATGCACTACATATTTTTTTTTTAAGGGAGGGAGAGGAGAAGAAGGAGAGAAGGTGAATCGAATCAGTCACTCCTCTGATTGCCTGCTACCTATGTCTTTTCCTCAGCCTGTCTTCCATGTGGTAACATTTTTAAAACAGAGGGAACATTTTTAAGACAGAGGGAAAAGGGAAGTTGGAAAGGAGCAGAATTTGGGCACATGCCCTGCTTCCTTGAGCTGTCCTCTCTCATTAAGGACATGTCCTTCCAAAAGAAAGGCATTCTGTTTCCAGCCCACGCAGACCTAAACTTTTTCTCATCACGTGCCTGGCCAGAGCCAGTCGGCAGCCATGTAATGTGATCACCAGGGCCAGCCTCCCGACCCACCCAAGCTGAGCCGGGTGACAATAAGGTTAGCCTGCAGAACTTCCCTGCAGCCACAAAAACAAACAAACAAACAGAAGCACTACAGGCTGGACCTGTGGCTTGGAGACAGGAACTCTTGGCAACAGCCCTCTGCAGAGGTGAGCAAGGGACTCTTGGGAGGGGAGTATTTGGGAAGGCCAGGATACATCCAAGCTCCGTCTGCCATCAGCCTGTCCTTGCTCCTCCTCGGCAGGGGGGGGGCTGTTCCTGGGCTGTTCCCTCCCTGTTCCTCACCGGGTCAGCACCACCTGCCTGTGTCTGCACCTTCTGTCTCCTCCATGTTGCTTTTCTCAAAACGGACGTAGTTCTAATGAATCCAGTCTACTTCTAAAGCTGGTGGGGGAACAGTTCTCCAAAGGGAAGTGAAACTGGAAGAGACTGCTGGAAGGCAACCCTCATTCTCGAAGGACTGTGGCAAACTGCCACACTCTTAAGTCTCAGAAGGATGTGCGGGCTGGGAGATGGTCAGCCAGGTTAAGGTGCCTTGAGTAAAACAGTGGCTCCAGGTTCAGGCGATTACTACATCCAATGGTCCTGAAGGACTTCCACCAGAGCTACTGGGTAGAGATGGAGCAGCAAAGTAGTTTGCCACGAGAGGTGCCTGGCCAGGCGAGACAAGGGGCTGCTGCATGTGAGTTGCTGTCAGTTTGTCTTGTAATTCCAAACAGATGTCACTGGCCGAGACAGAGAGAGCAAGTCAATTTGATGAAATAAATGCAAAGAGGGTCTGCTTTTGCCTTTACCAAACACGTCACCAGAAGGAAGGAAAACCATAGCACTGGGAACATTCTGGGAGCCAAAACAAAACAAAAGGAAACACTTTTCTTATTTTGGGCTCTGTGTTTATTTATTCAGCAAGTGCTTCCTGAATGTGGGCTGGATGCCAAGCTGTGTTTGGCGCTTTGACACCACTATTAAGCCAACAGGCATGTACTGGCTGTTGGTGATTTAGTTTTAATCGTCCAAAGGATAGAACCCAGGGCCTTACAGATGCTAGACTTGTGTTTTATAATCCAGCCACACAGGTCCTTCTGTTTTTCGTTTAATTTTGAGACAAGGTTTTGCTAAGCTGTCCAGTTGACTGTGAACTGTGATCTTCCTGCTTTGGCATCCAAAGTAGATGAGATTCCGAATGTGCATAATCCACTGGCCAGAAACTCTTAAAGGACATTGCTCCAGGGGAGTCCGAGCTTCTGGAGAGCACTTTATCTCCTCTGTTCAGCATCAGCCACTTTCCTCTTGCCTCATCTCACACCAGGGCCACTGTTGCCCTTATGAGCCTTTCTCCTGCATAAGGACATGTCTAGGCTGCTGCTTCTGAGGCTGGTGACTGACCAGGAGGTCCTCTTGACTGGCTGGCTCTTTCCTAGGATGCAAACAGCCTGTGCAGAAGCTGGGGGTGGACAGAGCATCATGTCAGTTGCTGACTCTCTGACTGCCCCACTTGTGAAATATATATATATTTTTTTCTTTTTGGTTTTTCGAGACAGGGTTTCTCTGTGTAGCTTTGGAGCCTATCCTGGCATTCGCTCTGGAGACCAGGCTGGCCTCGAACTCACAGAGATCTGCCTGCCTCTGCCTCCCGAGTGCTGGGATTAAAGGCGTGCGCCACCAACGCCCGGCATGAAATAGAATTCTTAAGAACATGGAGCCTGGGGCTGGAGAGATGGCTCAGTGTTTAAGAGCACTGACTACTCTTTGAGAGGACCCAGGTTCAAATCCCAGCATCCACATGACAGTTTAAAACTGTAACTCTGGTTCCAGGGAATCTGACACATTCATACCAATGCACATAAAATAAAAACAATAAGTTATTTAAAAAAACAAAAAACTAATCATTGAACTGAACTGGAATCCAGTTGCAGAGAAGGATGAGTGAAGAGCAAAAGGGCCCAGACCAGGCTGGTGAAACCCACAGAAACAGCTAACCTGAACATCGGGGAGCTCTTGGTCCCCAGAGTGGTAGCATGGGATACCAGCATGGGACTGATCCAGACCCCA